GTCGTCCTTTTGATAAATAGTGGCCGCTGTGAGCTGGCTGCTGTCTCCTCCCTTGTACTCGTCCCCTCCTCCAATACGGCCTAGGCACAAAGAGCTCCCAGCTCCGCTTGTGCCTTTCTGCCCAAGACCTTGGATCTGCCACAGGACCCAGGAGCTCAGCAGGAAGTAGTGTTCACACAACAAACTCCTTACCGGGCAAATAGGTGACTAAAAGAAAATAAATGAAACTTTTGTTCTGATTCCCAGTACAAACTGTATTTTAGAGTAACCAAGTAGCTCCAGAAGATGAAGGGATACTATTCTTTACTGGAGAATCCAGCTCGTATTTGTAGGCAGGAAGGATGCTAGAACTAGAAAATCAGCATTTGCAAGGGTAGAAAAAACAGTTTTATAATAGAGGAATTAGGCCATCACCACCTTAAATCAACGATTGGTCTCAATATCACTAGCAGCAGGAGACCCTGACACATTAATATCTTAGATGTGGCCATGATATTGGATTCATAAAGAAAAATGTCATCATCTTTTGTTAAAATAGCTCTTTTGGGGATATAATTCACATACCATTCAATGCACCCGTTTAAAGTGTAAAATTCAATGGCTTTTAGTATATCCAGGGCTGTGCCCCACCCCCACAATCAATTTTAGAACATTTTCATTGACCCCCAAAGAAACTCATACCCTTCAGCCTTCACCCCCTAGTCCTTCCATCCTTTCATCTCTCAGCCCCAGGCAACCTCTCATTTACTTCTGTCTATGGATGGCCTATTCTGAACATGGAATCACGCAATATGTGGTCCTTTGTGACTAGCTTCTTTTATTTAGCATGCTGTTTTCAAGGTTCATCCACCTGAATTATATTCCATTGTATGGATAGACCACAGTTTATTTATCCATCCATCAGTTCATGGACGCCTGGGCTGTTTACATCTTTTGGCTCTTGTGAAGAGTGTGCTGCTATGAACATGTGTGCAAACTATTCATTTAAGTACCTGTGTCCAATTCTTTCATCTCTACACCTAGGAGGGAATCGCTGAGTCATATGCTAATTCTATGTTTAACTATTTGGGGAACTGCCAGACTATTTTCCAAAGCAGCTGCGCCATTTTGAATTCCCACTAGCAGCATATGAAGGTTCCAATTTCTCTACATTCTCACCAACATTTGTTGTTATGTCTCTTTAACTAGACCCATCTAAGTGGGTGTGAAGTGGTATCTCATTGTGGTTTCCATTTGCCTTTCCCTGATGACTAATGATACTGATCATCTCTTCATGTGTTTATTAGCCATTTGTGTATCTTCTTTGGAGAAATATCTACTCAGGTCCTTTGCCCATTTTTTTTTTCATTTTTAATAGAATCGATTTTTTAGAGCTGTTTTGGGTTCTCAGCACAATTGCGTCCCCACGGAGTGTTCTCACATACCCCCTGCCTCCGCAAAGCCTTCCCCACTCTCAACATCCTGTACCAGTAGGGAGACATTCGTTACCACTGACAGACCAAGAGTGACACATCGCATTGACCAAAGTGCATAGCTCCCATTAGGATTCACTCTTGCTGTTGCACATTCCATGGATTTGGACAAATGTATAATGACATGTATCCACCATTACAGTTTTCGTACAGGAAAGCTTAATTGCCATAAAAATCCTCTGGGCTCCTGTATTCGGCCCTCCTTCCTCACAACCCCTGGTAACCAACCATTCATGGTTTTACTGTCTCAGTAAGTACTTTTTCCTTTTCCAGAATATTGTAGAGTTGGAGTCATACACTATGTAGCCATTTTGGGTTGGCTTCTTTCACTTAGTGATATGCATTTGAGGTTCCTGTGTGTCTTTTCATGGCTCCATACTTCATTTCTTTATCTTTTTAAAAAGATTTTACAATTTATTTTTAGAGAGAGGGGAAGGGAGGGAGAAAGAAAGAGAGGGAAAGAAACATCAATGTGTGGTTGCCTCTTGAGCACTCCCAATGGGGACCGGGCCTGCAACCCAGGCATGTGCTCTGACTGGGAATTGAACCAGTGACCTTTTGGTTCACAGGCTGGCACTCATTTCACTGAGCCACACCAGCCAGGGCTCCATAGTTCATTTCTTTTTAGCACTGAAAACTATTCCATTGTCTGGATGGACTGCAGTTTATTTATCCATTCACCTATTGATGGACTTCTTGGTTGCTTACAAATTTTGGCAATTATGAAGAAAGCTGCTATAAGCTTCCACATACACCTTCCTCTGCTCATTTTAAAATTCTCTCTCTCTCTTTCTCTCTCTGATTCTTGAGTCATGGTCACTCTTATACATTCTAAATTCAAGTCCCTCATTAGGTATATGAATTGCAAATGTTTACTCCGATGCTTTGAGTTGTCATTGGTATCCTTTGAAATATGTTTTTAATTTTGATGTTCAGTGGATTTTTGTTGTTGCTGTCTGTGCTTTTGCTGTCATATTAAAGAAATCTTTGTCTAATTCAAGGTCATGAAGATTTATACCTATGTTTTCTTTTGAGAGTTTCGTAGTTTTAGCTTACATTAAGGTCTTTGATCCACTTTGAATTAATTTTTGCATATGGTGTGATAACCTTATTCTTTTTATAGATGCAGACTAAAGAATTTAGGTATGAATATATGTTGATTATAATTTAAAATACTACAGGAAAAATAGATAAATCAAATATGGCAAAATTTTGACAGCTGCTGAGTCTGAGGCTCTGGGTTTATGGTGTTCTTTATACTGTGTATTTTTTTAAATATCCAGTAAATTTTAATTTACATGTCAAAATATTTGTTTGCTTTTTCCAACCATTATAAAATGCAGAAATTTAGTTCACAGGGTGTACAAAAACAGGCAGCAGACCAGTTTGTCAACCTTGTCAACCTCTGGCTCCAATGATTCCTACCTGTATTGAGGAAGAGCATATAAAGATGCTATTTACTTTTTAAAACCTGTGCTACCCTCAGGCATGAGGGTGACACAGATGAATGTCCAGTGAGAGAAAGTATAAAAGCCACTAGCCGCTTAGAGCTAGAGCTAGAGCTATATAATTACAATTAAATAACATTTAAAAACTCAGTTCCTTACTCACACTAGTCATAATGAAGTACTTCGTAGCTAGAGAACATTTGTATCATTGCGTACTCACACATCAGAATACAGCAGCACTTTAAATGGCCTCACCTTTATTAATGAACCCAATGCAGAAACACAATCAACAGAGAAAAGTCATTCTTCCAATAATTCCTCAATTAAAACTGTGCAGAGAGTAGTGATCTTTTCAGCGATTTGAAGGGGCAGACAAGCTGGATAGGGCATAAATACGTGAGCCATCTCCAATGGGCCCTTCCTTATATAACCAGTTTGGTTCTTCTCCAATGCCATGTGTGTTTCCTTATAAACCCTGTTTGGCTCTTCTCCAAGGTCTCCTCTTGGAGTTTTACGTGACTTTAGTACCAGTTTTCATCTGAACCCTTGAGCGGATTGGGCCGATTCTGTTTTTCCTTCTTGGCCAGGAACTCCCTGACCCTGAAAGGCTTGTGTAGAAGACGTGGCAAAGAAGAATCAACCTCATGGACCACAGTGGAGGAGAGAGAGAAGGAAGCTGTCTCCGTGATTTTTAAAAAATTCTTTAAATAATAGAAAGGAAAAGGAAAAGATAGAAATAAAAATTACAAAAACACTTGATTTATGAGTTAAAATAGAATAAAGCTGCATTCATTTTAACTTATATTTTAAAGTAAATTATTTAGAAACGTTAGCATTTTATTTATTTATTTATTAATCCTCACCCAAGGATATGTTTATTGATTTGAGAGACACAGAGAGAGAAACAACCATGTGAGAGAGAAACATTGATCGGTTGCCTCTTATAGGCACCGCAACAGGGAATGGAATCCACAACCCAGGCATGTGCTCTCATCCGGCATGGAACCGGCGACTTTTTGGTGTATGGGACTACGCCCAACCAAGTGAGCTCCCTGGCCTGGGTAAACTTTAGCATTGTATAATTAATTGTAAATTATTTGTCACACTGCTAATAAAAACACACGCTAGAATGGACGAATCAAGGGGCCCTGGCACTGCTCTTAGGGACCTGTGTTCTAGAGCTTCTCCCTCTAATAGGGCAACTCCTAGGGACAGGTGGCTGTTGAGCACTTGAAATATGGGGAATCCAAACTGAGATGTGCTGAAGGTGTAAAGTATACATTGTCAAATTTTGACTTGGGAGTGCATGGTAAATAATTGAGGCTTTGTGGGCCGAGAGGAAAATATGTAGGTACTTACTTAACAAGAAAGAAAACAAATTTTCACAATGTTTTTATTGACCCAATCCCAAATACAGTAATAATTGAGTACAATTTTTTGCAATATACATCTATGAGGGGAAATGAGTTCTTTCTAGAGGGGGCTATTTCTGGCAATTGGAGTTCAAAGACAGTGTGGCTATTGTCACATAGATTGCAAATGTTCCTGTGTGAAAACAGCGCTTGACTCTCAGGTACAAATAGGCAGCTCTCAGGATGTGGCCCTGGGCCACAGTTTGTAGACTCTGGTAGGTGGACACCAGTCCTGTGCAATGAGTTTGGGGCTATTCCGGGTTGAGGGGTCACTACTCGCTGCGAGGCTCGGTCATCGCCTCTCCCTCGGTGCCCAGTTAATGAGGTTCATTAGCTTTCCCCCACGAGGCAGGACTGAAAGGTCAAGATTTGTGGCCTGGAGCTGTCCCCGGGAGGACACACCTTAACGTTTCAGGACTACCCAGGGATTCTAAACCTGCCGTCCTGGGCCCGTGTCCAGCCCTTGCCTCCCCGCACCCTCCGCCTCTCCCTGCACCCCTGCGCCCCCACCCTCGCTAACCCGCCGTCTCCTCCCCCGTCGCACGTTGCTCCTCCCCACCAGGCCCGCTCCTCCACCCGGTCCTGCCGCGGCGCTCTCCCGCTCCTCCCCCGGCCCCGCCCCCTGAAGCAGCTCCGCCTCCCGCAGCTCCGCCTCCCGCAGCTACTCCTAGCCGGTCCCTCAGTCCGCCGGGCAGCCGCGCTTTCCCGCTCGTGCAGCTGCGTCTAGTGCCTCCGTCGCCTCCGTCTCGGCCGCGCACCCGTCGAGTCTCAAGATGACCAACATCGTGCTCTTTAGCGGCAGCTCGCACCAGGACCTGTCCCAGCGTGTGGCCGACCGGCTGGGCCTGGAGCTGGGCAAGGTGGTCACCAAGAAGTTCAGCAACCAGGAAACCAGGTGGGGACCCCGCCGGGCCGGGGAGGGCGCCAGGAGCTCGGCTGCGAGGCCGGGCCGGGCGCTCCCCCTTCCGGGGCGGGCCAGCCACGACGCGGCCTCCGCGCCACCGTCGCGGCGCCCCGGAAAGCCTAGGAGGGCGGCCCCAGCCCGGAAGGGCAACCTGGGGGTGGTCACAGTGCCTCGGGGCGCGGTGGGCACAGCCGGCGGGAACCGCCTGGGTGCGGGGCAAGCGGGGACGGCTGCCCTGGCTGAGCTCGCCCCGGTTTCGTATCCCTGCCGGGCTGATTCCAAACCCCGCGTGCTCGGGAAGGTTCCGCCCACGCCCCCACCTCTCTGTCCGGGGAGCAGCGTGGTAAAAGCTACCAGGTGACTCTTCTGAGCGGCCGGGGTACAACCCCTTGCGTTAACCGGCGGGTGTGGTTGTGCAAAGGGTTTAAAGAGCGTGGGAACTCCGGGGGCGCACGTGTTGGGTTGCCCTACACTTCCTCTAATTTTTCTGCCTCAAAGATGTTACACTTTCGGCTCCTTCGCGGTTCTGGGACTTGGCTGTGCCCAGCAGACAGGCCATGGCTAGAGTGTAAGTGTCAACCATGTGTCAGGTCCACAAGAAGCGCTCCCCTCTGCCCCTTGAGGGCAGGTGGTGGCCCCCTCAGAGGCCCGCCCAGGGGTTCCTTTCTCCACCTGCCTGAGATCTCAAAGCTCTTTAACTAATTTCAAGATGGTCTCATTTCTCCCCGCTCTCCCTTTAAATATCGAGCACTGCACACGGTTACTGAACATTTTTTTTACCACTGACCAAGTCCCACTTCAACATTTTCAACAAGTGGTGCTGGAACAATTGGTGCCAGCTGCAAAACAAACAAAAACCCGCCATCCGTACTTCCCGCCATTTCAAAAATGAACTTGAACTAGATCATTGACACCTGAATGTAAACCTAGAACGAAACATTTCTAGATGGAAGCAGAAGAGGAAAGCTTGATGACCTTGGGTTAGGCAAAACATTTCTTAGATACTGAGGTGTTATAGTACTACATATGGGGGAAGGTGGTGCTTGTTGTCAGCTTTTTAGGAGAGGTGAATCCCTTCTTCCCCGTGGGAAATTATAATTACGTGGCCCTGATGATAGTGTAAGTGAAGAAACATTTGTGACTGAGCAGCAGGTGGTATTAATGCTGGAAGGCCTTCGACTAAAGAAACGGTCTTTGCGTAGTTTGATGCAGAACACAAGGGGAATGACTGGCTCAGGGGAAAGACAGAACTCGGTTTGAATGTTGCAGTATTTTGCCAGCCCTATTGACTTCTCAGTAGCGTTAAGAACACGAGGAGAACGGGATAATAGCCTCTGTTCAGGAGGCGGAGTCATGTAAGTGAAGGAGAAATTTCTGGATGGAGCGCATTTTGAAAGCAAATGTGGTGCTCTCCTGTTATCTCGGGGCAGCCCAACCTTTGGCTGCTAGAGAGCGTGGTTAACCTAGATCAGAAGTCCATTGTGAACTCAGAGTTGGATTTCTGTTGGGTGAAACTCACTCAGACAACGGAGTATTAAAGCAGACTCAAGTTTATTGTTATCTGTTTGGAGTAGTTTATAACTACCACTTGATGAATTAATGAGAAATCAGGAGGTCTCAAAAACCACTCTCCATAAAGTCTTGCAATTGCTGATAGAGTTGCACGTTATGTTTTTTGTATCTAGGCACTAAAAGGTTAACTTCTTGACTTTTCTCTCCTATGAACTGTGTAGGTCCAGAGGCTGGTTTTTACCAACAGTCCTCTCTGTACCAGGCACTGTGTCAGGGATCCAGTTCTTACCGTGTCCCCCTCACACCAGAGACAGAAGGGCGAAAGGAAGAGAACTGATTCAGTTCACGTAGGGGGTCGCTCCGGGAATCTCTTGCTGAGCCAGGACCGGAAATGTTGTTTGCTCTCCCCTGCCCATCACTGCTCTGAGGCCCCATTTTTCAGACACTACCGAACTGGGCCCTGAGCCTCCTGATTTTTCACCTTCCCGTCTCTAAATAATTTCACCTATGAGGCAGGTTGACTATAGACCGCTGAAATGCCACAATGACGTACTAGGACAGCACCGACCACAGTATCTGGACGTCTGTTGTAACGCTTTATCCTGGGCGGTTAACCTGCCCACAGAATCATTAGCTGTGTTGTAAGACCCAAAGTTCTGATGCTCTCTTATTGTGTAACCAGTCACCCCCAGAACTTCATGGCTTAAGGCAATAATTATATATTTGACTCAAATGTGCAATTTGGGCAGGGTTCAGGAAGGCAGGCTTGTTTCTGCCCCATGTGGTGGCATCTGGGACGATAAACTGGCCCCGGAGGATCGGCTTCTAAGATGGCTTACTCGGGTGGCTGGTAAGTCGGTACTAGCTTCTGCCCGGAAGGTTGGTTAGGGACCTCAGTGCCTCTCCCCAGGGCTGCTTGAGCCCCCTCCTCACCAGGAAGCCTGGTGCCAAGCGTGAGTATTCCGAAAGACAGGGGACGGGAGCTGCCAGTCTAGTAAGGTCCGGCCATCATCACTTCTGTCACATTGTCCTGTCTGGCAGAGTCCTCCCAGATCCAAGAGGAATCTTCTCGTTGGGAAAGGTGATGGAGAGGCTGAGGCCCTCTTTTTTAATGACCACATCCATTCATTGTTGACCCAGATAAACTCACCAGCTTTATTTCGGGGATCAATAAAGGTCCTTTATCTGAAGAGCAAATGGATGCCGCCTTCTGGCCACCATTTTTCAAAGTCCTAGGATAAAGCTCAGCCGTGATCATCTTTATGGAGAGAAGCAGGAATGGCTTTGGAAAAAAATGGCCATGGTAATATTATTTTCTGTCCTCCCCTGGACTTCTGGGCATCCAGGAATGGAGGTTCCTGAGGAAAACTAGACCAAAGAGATTGAAATTTGGGGATAAATAGTCATCACACCAGGAATTGGCAAACTTCATACCAAAGGCCAGATAGTGAATATTTTAGGGTTTGCAGGCCCTGTCGCCTGTACGGCACCATACCGTTTTGCAGGCTAGAAGTCCATCATGGGTCACCGTGTCCTTTCTGGAGGCGCTGGGGGAAAATCCATTCCCTGGCCTTTGCCAGCTTTTAGAAGCTGCCCGCGTTCCTTGACTCTTGCCCCATCTTCCGTCTTCAGAGCCAGCAACAAAGTATCTCTCTGACCCCACTTCAGTCTTCGCATCCTTCTCTGACCTCTTCTGTCTCCCTCTTCCATTTGTAAGGGCCCTTGTGTTTGCATGGGTCAACTCAGAACAACCCAGAACAGTCTCCCTATTTTAAGGTCAGCTGATTAGTAACCTTAAGTCCATCTGCCCCCTTGCCACGTAAACCAACAGATTTCAAAGGTTCGGCAGATTAAGACAAAGATATACTCTGAACAGGCCATCGTTGTGGCTGCCACATCCTTCTCAGCCCGTGGGATGCGGGTTGTGGGCCCGTGAGCTGTGTGATGCAGGGACTGCCAAACTGACTTCATCCCAGAGTTGACGTGATGGTCACAAAGGAAGTGCATTTAGCTCCTTCGCCCTCAAGATCAGAGGGAGTACAGAGAATCCTGTCTGTCCCTCTCATCCTGAGAGGTTGGTGTTGAACTGTTTTCATCCCTAGTCGAGCACGTGCAGGAATATGACCCACATGCTCTTACCAAAACTCATTTTCAGATCATATCAACTTGGAAAACTTCATTTCTGTCTTCTGATCTGCTTGAGATTGGGCAGAAGCTTGTTTTGATTCAGATAGGCTACTATATAGTCTCTCAAATGTCACTTGTGTTTAAATTTCCTTCAGAAATTGGCTTGTTTTATAAAGATTTTATTTATTTTTAGAGGGGGAGGGAGTGAGAAAGAGGGAGAAATTGGCTCTTTTAATAATACCATTGAGTATAAATGGCTTCTAATAGCAGGAGAAGGGATAAAAGTAAATATATGCCTTACTTGTGGTTTTAAAATAAGATTCAATGGCTTCCTTTTTTTGGATGTGCCTTTTATTTACAGTCACTTCTGTAAGGTAGCAAGTGCATGTCTAAAAATCATCACGCCATGCAAAATTGTACGTAAAAACCATGAGGCTTATGGGAGAAATGGAATCAGGGACGCAACACTGAAAACTTCCTTTGTGACATATTTTTTTTAAAAGATGGGAATATAATAAAAATGGTAAAACACTTTTACATATTGCATGTTTAAAAAATACATAAATATTACAGTAAATATCAGTAAATATGGCACTTTCTGGTGAAAATGACCTGCAGGTTACTTGATGAAGTGGGTCTTGGATGGGTTGCAGCTTGAGTTGGGAGGAGTTCAAAGCGAGGGTGATCAGAAATGCTCGGGAGTCCTGGCTGGTGTGGCTCAGTGGATTGAGTGCTGGCCTGCGAACCTGGTTCGATTCCCAGTCAGGACACTTGCCTGGGCTGCAGGCCGGGTCCTGGGTTGGGAGTGTGTGAGAGGTAACCAATTCATGTATCTCTTGCACATCGATGTTTCTTTCCTTCTCTCTCGCCTTCCCTTCCCTTCTCTCTCGCCTTCCCTTCCCTTCTCTCTCGCCTTCCCTTCCCTTCTCTCTAAAAGTAAGTAAATAAAATCTGAAAGAAAGAAATGCTGGGGAACTCGTGACAGCAGATGTGAGTGGGTATGTGGGAGAGGCTGAGTCTACAGAGTGTTTCTTAGTGTCTCCATTTAGCTGGATGCAGTCTTCTGCCTCGTGGGAAAGGAAATGCAAAATTCCTGTTATCCTCAAATCATTTCTAATATACTCACATTGTTTCTAATATATCAACCACTGGGGAAAATTTTGCCTTTGGAAAACACATTTTAACAGAGCTGACGCTGTCCTTGGTTCTCAGCCACGCTCTGAAGGACCAGCCTGAGCACGTGGCACGAGTTTGCTCTTCTCCCGTGGAAGGCATGTGCTAGCGATGGGCAGGCTGGCTCTCAGGTCAGACACTCAGGATTCTATCCCCAAAATACAGAAATTTTCCAACATGCAGTTTTTAGAGACTTTCAAAGCTCCTGTTTACTCTTCTCAAGAAGCTACTGGAGGGTGCCAGTCAGCAAAACAAGGAAGTACACTGAAAGAGAGCACAGAAAGTGGGAAATGGTCTGCGGCAGGGGGCGGAGGGAATCCCCGGGGGCAGCTGGACACTGGCCAGAAGGGTGCAGGTCAGAGAGCCCAGGGCCAGACGGGCAGACGGGCAGCACTCAGGCCTCTGACCTTGTGGGGTTTGGCTAGCCAAGTGTTCAGGATGGAATTTGTAGCCAGTACTTAGAAAACTGAGCAGATGAAAAGATAAGATAATTTCCTCCAGGGAAAACAAACCCCCAAAACATTGTACGCAAAAGGGAAATACTATAAACTTGGCTTTAAGTTTACTAGCTGGGCCCAGCTCTGCCGAGCATTTACACAGTTAAAACGTAGTGCTCATATTTGGTTAGAATATCGCTCTGTATTGGGATGATGGCCAGACAAGGTGCCGGGGGCGGGGGGCGGGGGGGAGCTGCATACCACGCGGGTGATGGGACAGGGAGGAAATAGAAAAATAGAAAATCCGTATCCTCATAGTGAGGAGTCTTATGTGGTGGCTGGAGTGGAAAATCAAGATGAAGCCGTGCAAACTTTAGCGAGAGACTTGAAGATACATATCAAAAAACCGTGTAAGTGTTCAAATTGGTTTCTTCTGGGCTGTTCATTCTACGCCTTACAGAATTATTTGAAACTGTTAAGCAATGTGCGTATGTGACTTTAATTAAAATAAAGAATTGACTGTATAATACTTAGCATGAAAGAGGTAACGTAGCAGGACGGAGACAGATCTCTAAGAAGCATGTAAGATCGCCTCATGCGTGAAGAAGGCCCGCTTGTAAGGTGGCCCTCGGCTGGCCTCTGGGAACTTAGCTTTAGTGCGGTTAATGCCGAATGCCTGGGAATCGAATTGGGGCACGTGCCAGGCAGAGGGTGCCTGTGTGACCAGCCCCGCATCAAACCCCCTGAGTTTCTAGTGAGCCCCCTTGGTAGACAGGAAGCACTTCACATGCATTGTCGCAGCTCATTGCTGGGGGGCTTAAGCTCAACCTGCGTGACTCCTCGGGACGGCTCTTGGGAGCTTGCACCTGGATGCGCCCTGTGTGCTCCGTATCCTCTCACGATTATATATCATACCCGTGCGTACACTGTCTGCTCAGTCTTGGCCAAGCATCACACCTGGGGGGTCTTGGGGACCCCACACGGTACAAATATGCTTTAGGGTTAATGGCTGACATTTTTCTTCTCCTAGCGTGGAGATTGGCGAAAGCGTGAGAGGGGAAGACGTCTACATCATCCAGAGTGGCTGTGGAGAGATCAACGACAACTTGATGGAGCTGCTCATCATGATCAATGCCTGCAAGATCGCGTCATCGTCCAGGGTGACCGCTGTGATCCCGTGTTTTCCATACGCCCGCCAAGATAAAAAGGACAAGGTACGAGAGCTATGTCCTGTCAGAGGAAACTGTCTGAGTTAACATTGGCGTGTTGTTTTTTTTTTTTCCCCCTCTCACATCACCTTAGAATATCTAGAAAATATTTGCCTTCTATTTTAATGATTGAGTAAACATGCTTTTTCACCTTGGCTTTTCCAAAGGTTTGTCTTTGAGCCAGCCATCATGTTAATATTTATAGATAAAGAAACAGATAAAGCATATTTTTACAGGTATGAAAATACCATTATAGTGCTATAGCAGCAATTTTCCACCTTTTTCACCTCATGGCACACATGAACTAATTACTAAAATTCTGCAGCACACACAAAAAATATGCTTTTCCCGATCTGACAGAAAATAGGAATAATGTTGATTCGTTCACACTGGACGGCTATTGTTGTGTTGGCTGTTGTCATTTTTTAGTTTGACAATCTAAGAGAAAAGAAGTCAGTGCCCCTGACTAAAATAGTCAGGTGCTGCATGTTTAAAAATTCTCAGGGCACACCGGCTGGAAGTTGCTGTTCTGTAGTGACAGAATGGCTGTGTATCTTTGTGCTGGGGGACAGAACTGAATGCCCACTCTTCACGACCCCCTCTGTGAGCACAAAAACTGGGGGCAGGGGCAGTGGGAATCGGGTCACTGGGCTGTGTAAGCGCCAGCGTCCTGGCTGGGATACTAGACTGTAGTTTTTCAAAATGTCACCTTGAGGAGAAACTGGTTGAAGGACACACGCATCACTTCTTATCATTATCTCTTTTTAACCTTTCAAGAGAATGAAGCTAACGTCTATGACTTACTCTTTTAGGAACACTAGCTCAATAGGAGTGGCCTTGGGGGGAAATTAGACAACTTGGCGTTGAGGGGAACTTTAAAGGGAATTGTAGTAGTTTCCTAGGGCTGCCATAATGAATGAGCACAAACTGGGTGGCGTCAGTAAAAGAACAGAAATGTATTCTGTTCCCGTCCTGGAGGCCGGAGGTCAGAAATACACCTGCAGGCAGAGCCATGCTTGCTCTGAAGGTGTTAGGAGGAAGGCGCCTTTGCCTCTTCTGGTTTCCGATGGCTCCTGGCATCCCTTGGCTTCTGGTAGCATCACCTCCGTCTCTGCCTCTGCCTTCACATGGCCTTCTTCCCTGTATCCCTTTGCCTGTTTTATAAATGGAGAGTCATTGGATTGATGGCCGACCCTAATCCAGAATGACCTCGTCTTGCTCTTTCCTTTCGTTATTATCTGCAAAGGCCCCATTTCCAAGCGAGGTCACATTTTGAGGTTGTGGGTGGACGTGAGTTGTGGGAGATGCCATTCAGCCCGCTCTCGGGATCAACTCTTAAACTGGTATCTGCTCTGTGTCTTAGGAATGGACGTTCAGTCAGGTTCTGCATGAATCCTTCCAGTTACAAGACACACTGCCCTTCTGTCATGTGGTGACTGATTGTGAGAAAGCTTTTTCCCAATTCACCTCCATGTAGCTTCGAATTCATTTTCTGAAACAACACAAATTTCTAAACAGCTACAAGATGTCCTCATGTATGAAAAAATTCCCTTTATAAATTTGAAATCATATATCAAGAGGGTGTGGTTTCCAGACCCCATGGTGAACATGGCTTAGTTAATTCCTCACTGGAATCTTGAGCTCAGGAACTCCTTTCTGCACTTGACGTACGATTTACCACATATAGAGTAGAAGGGGTCAGCGAACTTTTTCTCTAAAAGGCTGTACGGTCTCTGTGGTAACTGCTGAGCTCTGGTTGTGTATCAGACAGAGACAATATGTAAATGATCCGCGTGGCTGAATTCCAATAAAACTTATTTATGGACACTGAAATAGGAATTTTGTATAAATTGTCATGTGCCATTAAATGTTCTTCTTTTGATTTCCTTCCAGCTGTTTAGTCACGTAAAAGCCATTATTAGCTCACAAGCAATGCAGAAACAAGTGGCTGGCCTGATTTGGCCTGCAGGCGGTAGGTAGTGGGCCATCGTTTGCGAACCTGCCCCACATTAGGGCGTCGATCGGCTGTGTGTGTGTCTCTCTCCTGTTGTGACTTGGCTTTAGCTCGCGGGGCCACCAAAACCTGAGATCGCATCAGCTGCTGTGAAGCATATGACCTCCCACTTGTTATTTATGGAGCTGCTTTTATTCTGAACTTGATTTGCAAGTTTTATGTGCATTTTTAGCCACTAAATTTTAATCTTTTATTTTGTCCCATCAGTGTAAACCGTTGTTTTAGCTCTCCCTCTCATCTCTGTTTCCATGGGATGGGTTAGCACCTCATCCTTGTCCTTGTAAAGGGGCTAATGTTCTGCTGCTCTGTCTTTGCCGTGTAGCAAGAGGGGTAGTGAATTGTGTATTCTGTTTGTTCTGTTTATTCTGTAATTGCAGTCAGGTTCTCCTTTCACTTCTAGTAACTTTTGCATTTGGGGCTAAGATACTTGACCGGTCCTAACTTCTTCAGTAAATGATTCCTTTATTACTACAGGGCCCTTTCCCACTGATTTGTAACCTAACTTCTTCTGTAGCTGATAAAAGTACTGTGATTCCCATTCTTTGTTTGCAAGTATCTGATTGGCCACTGCTTCCAAGGTTGCATTTTCAATCTTTGTTTCTTATGTGCATTCATAATGCACTCTTTGTTACATAGAGGAGCGAGTACTGGCTGGTCTCCTGCCTCGCAGGGGATGTGACGCGCTCCTGGCCTCTGACCTTTAATGGCCAGCAGTGCCCCTTGTCACTGTGTGGACAAAGAGAGCCCCACAGTAAGCAAGTAAGTAAGTAAAGAGAGTAAGGAAGAAAGGAAGGGAGGGAGGGAGGGACGGAGGGAGGGAGGAAGGAAAGGAAGGCAGGCAGACAAGGAGGATGTAAGAAAGTAAGAAAATAAGTAAGTAAAGAAAGTAAGGAAGAAAGGAGGGGAGGGAGGGAGGAAAGAAAGGAAGACAGGGAGGATGCAAGAAAGTAAGAAAATAAAGTAAGAATATAAGAAAAGTAAAAGTTAAAAAGAAAGAATGTAGGAAAGTAAGTACATAAGGAAAGTAAATCAAGTAAGTAAAGAAAGGAAGTGAAAAGAAAGAATGTAAGGAAAGTAAGGCAAGTAAATAAAGCAAGTAAGTAAAGCAATAAAAAAAAAAACAAAAACCAAGCCCCACAGCATCCTGAAAACCCTGGTGGGTTGAGCTGTCCTGTGGGTCTGCGTCGGCCACCTGGCGCTGTCCTCGTTTTGCCCCCGTGGGACACGCAGACGGGCTTGCCGTTTGGGGCCGTCTCAAGCATCCACTCCTCGCCCCCCACCCCCCGCTTCCTTCACCGCGGTGCTGTATTTGTGTTTCTGGTTAGAGAAATTGATTAAGAAGGAATGGTGGAGGGCTGTATGAATTGCCTCTTGCCGCCATAATACATTGCCACAAACCGGGAGGTGGAAAACTGCAGAAGTATATTCTCTCGCACTTTGGAGGCCAGCAGCACTCCATCCACAGGCTCCAGGGGAGGGGCCTTCCCGGCCCGTTCCGGCTTCTGGCGTGAGGCCACATCGCTCCAACCTCTGCTTCCGTGTTCGCGTGGCCTTCTCTTGCTCCCCAAGTCTCCCTCTGGAAGGGTACGTGGGATAGCACCCCGGCCCCCCAGGACAATCGCCCTATCTCAGAACTCTTCGTGTAACCACATCGGCAGAGACCGTCTTTCCAAATAAGGTAACAGTGACCCAGGTGCCAGGATTAGGACCTGATGTCTTCGGGGCCACCGTTCAGCTCACTGCAGGGCACGTTGAAGAAAGTCATTAATGTGTTAATAAATGGGCATTTTAAGGACAGTTCAAGCTTTGAGGTAGTGTCATTTATATCATTTATCACCTAAGCCAGTCCACTTGAGAACTTGAAAGGAGCTCTGAATAATTATTCCAGGAAACAAGTGGCCACCCTGACTGTCCCGGGTGTTTCCGACACATGGCCACCCTTGTATAGGCCTCTGGCTTTGGGGACTGACCTTGGAGCTGGCCGAGACATATAGATTGTTCTGGCACTATCATCTCGGTCATGTCTGTGTAGTCAGTGTGCCTCGTGTTAAAATAAATAGACAGTTTTATTCTTTCACCAAACCGGTTGAAAGGGAAATTCATAATTTTTTGTCTGTCCTTTGAGGTATGGTATGCCTTTGTATTTTTTTAAATTGCTGCTAATAGCTGTTAATACTCTTTCTGCCCATTTCTTAGATCAAATGGATTGGCTTCGTATTGGGAAACCGTATCGAAGTGGGGATGACAAGGGGCTTGAGTCGGGGCTTCGGAGAAATGGCCGGAGCCCGTGCAGACTTCGTCCACCTGTAAGGGTGAGCGATCAGGAGACCGAGTGGTGGGGAAACACATCTTCCCTTTTTTCGGCTTTGCTTAGGTAGGCCAAAGGTCACGTGGTGGTTGCAGGGGATGGGAGGCATGGGCCACACTTGCTCTGTGGGCTCAAAGAAAATCCCCCTCCTGGATCCCGGGAGCAGCCCCGGGCAGCCCTCCTCCTGTCTTCTCCCTCCCAGAGAACTGTATTTAGTGTCTGTGACGTCTAAGCCGAAGAAGGTTCAGGTAATTTATTTACTTAGAGTTTCCTGCAAAGGAGCCCAGAAAAGACAGGAGCCTTTGAACCATATCCATAGCTTGTTTCATCATTTTTAAACTCACTGGTCCCTTTTAAGGAAGCCCTGCATGTCTGCACATTTTACTTTTGGTTTATATGTGCAAGAAACCAGGGACAAGTTCTGACAGTGGAGGAACGGTCTCATAAATCGGACACATCAGCACAATGGAAAACTACCATGGAAAATGGCGATGCTACAGGATTAATTGTAGAGGACATGGCATGGTGTGGTCTGAGCTCGAGGCTTCCAACTTTGGCATCGAGTGGACTCGGGTTTGAATTTCAGTGCCATTCTCTCAGTTTACCCTTCGTAAAAGTAACTTAAACTTTTTGTGCCTTTAGTTTCCTCATCCGTAAATTCAGAACAATATTTGCTACTATATATAAAGTGCGTAGCAGAATTTTCCCCTCAAAAACCTGGGTGTCAATTTTTTTTTTTTATCCTTACCTGAGGACATGCTTACTGATTTTAGAGAGAGGGGAAGTGGGGGAAAGAGCAAAAGAGAGAAACATGGATGTGAGAGAGAAACATCAATTCCCCGACTGGGCACCGAACCCACAACTCAGGCATGTGCCCTGATCGGGAATCAAACCTGCAACCTGTCGGCCTACGAGGCCATGCTCCAGCCAACTGAGCCACACCAGTAAGGGCCAGGTGTCAAATTTGTTAGGCTTTGCGGACCGCTGGGTAGAGACACATGGCTCAACTCCACCATTTTCACATGAAAGCAGCCATATATCATAGTCAACGAGGGGGCCTGGCTGTGTTCCACTAAAACTTTATGGACATGGCAGTGTGAATTCCATATACTTTTCAAATGTCACAATATATATTGTTCTTGTTTTGATTGCTTTTCAACCACTTTAAAATGTAAATTCCATTCTTAACTCACAGGTTGTCCAGCACCAGACCACAGGCCAGGGTTGGCCCCCAGACCTCTGTTCGCTGATACCTACTCTAGGGGACACTTCAGTAATTGCTAGTTTCCTTTCCCAGTAAAAGCCGTATGACATGCCCCAGCCAGTGTGGTTCAGTTGGTTGGGCATCTTTTGGCAAAGCTAAAGGTCGCCAGTTCGATTCCTGGTCAGGGCACATGCCAAGGTTGCAGGTTTGGTCCTGGGTCAGGGTGTGTGCCGATCATTGTTTTCCTTTCACATCGATGTTTCTCTCCCTCCCTTTTCCTTCCCTTCCCCTCTTTCTAAAATCAAAAATTAAAAAATACATTTAAAAAGCAGCATGAGTGGACAAGGCTACAAATAGCTACTTTGGAGGTGATAGAGAACTTGTAGCTTTTTTCAAAACTATTTTCAAGGTTCTGTTCTTTTTTCAATGAAATTGTTTCTTTTTGTTTTGTAACTGAAAAAAAAATTGAGGACCATTGTCTTGATAGGATTTGTACAATCTTGTCTATTTGTCAAGGTTATCAAATGTATCCGTCCAGCAAGGCAGCGTCTGATACATTGACTAAGACCTGAAATAGCCGGAGAATCTTCATCATGGCTGGGCTGGCCTACCAAACGTTTGACCTTTATCCATTTTTCACTAGGGTAGTCAAACGTTTCATTTTTGGTTACTGTACTTTGACTCTACCTTTGTTGAAATGTCATGCTAATTTTTCTTTTTATTGGCTGTAAAGTCAGTTAACTTGTAAATCATTTTCCCTTCAAGATTCAGTGCATTGAACCAAATTATGAAATGCAGTGCAAAAACCAAATTTGTAAACAAGGTCCTGTGGTTTGGATCTCAGAATTAAAAAAGGCTCGATGTACTGAGAGAGGTGAACAGAGGACTCTTCCTGCCGGTTATAAAATTACAGGGAGAGCCCCAGATTGACTAGTGTTGCGAGCCAGATTGTATTACAAAGAAGTCCCAGTAATCAATTGATTCTCTTAATAATTCTGGGATTTTGGTAAACTAAAGAATTCTCACAGTCAGTGTGGCTGATGATGAAGCCTTGGAAGCTTGGTGTTACAGAGATCCTGCTGTGAAATAATTATCAGAGATAAACACTGGATGCAAGGGACAGAGCTGTGTGCTGTAGGTGATGTGAAAGGTCTCCAAAACCAGTTCTTTGCCCTTGAGGGTCTCGCTGTGAACCATGCCATCCATATATAGAATGTTGTCAGTCTTTCAGCAGGTGGTCCCAAATGGTGGGGGGCTAAGTGCTTAGCCAGTGCCATGTCCCTTTCGAAGAGACAGATCCTTTCTCTCTGGAGCTCTCAGCGTGCCTTCAAGTTTGGAGATTTGAACCAGCTCTGGAGGATGGGACAGGCTGGCCCAGCAGAGGCAGGGTGGCATGCGGGTGTGGCAGGTGCGTGGGTGTCGACAGCACTTGAAGTGTCCCCCAGAAGGAGCGAAGCAGGCCCAGGACAGACTGCGGGGAGGACCCTAGTGGCAGAGGCACGCGTGCAGGAGGACCAGCTGTCAGTAGCTAAAGCCAGGCTGGCCCGCGAGCTTCTTATCCCAAAGGTGTGACGTGGAATAGAGCAGGGGAGTGAACTGTGAAAACATGCGTGGTAATATGTAGTTCGTTGAGGAGGTTGAAAAATTCAAAAAAAAAATGGGAGAAATACTTTCCCATAATCTCATTATCTAGAAGCATCTCCTATTAACATTCTGGGGCGTTTCCTCTCATTCTTTGTGTGTTGAAAAGAAATTTTTGTATGTGTATATATTTGCATATGTATATATTTATATTTTCTTAAAGTAATGTTTCCTTTTTAAAAAAAAAATAGTGTATTAGAATACAACTTATCTGTTAACATTGTGATGTAATTCCCTGTCTGTGTTTTTACATGAATATACTGTGTCTGTGTGTGTATTTAACAGAAATCATTGATTTTACTATTGCAAATGAAGTCTTTTTCAGCTTTATTGAAATATAAATGGCATATAACACCGTGTAAGTTTGAATGGAATATTTTAACCTTATATTTCCTTTTTTGTGACTGGTATATAGGAATACTGTTGTTTACAGCAAATTGCTGAATTTTTTTTCCTAGGTTTAATCATATCTGCCTAGTCCCTTAGATATTTTTTTTTGATGTGGACAGAGGTATTGTGCATAATTTATGATGTGGAAGCTGCAGTGGTGGAGAAGTTAGGTCACTCGAAGGCAATAAATCACAGTGCATCTGCTTCTCCAGATATTAAATTCTCAATCACTTTCAGGTGTTCTTTCTTCGATCTGTTTTTTTGTGTAATTTGTAACACCGAGCATTGGCTCCCAGCTGCGGAACACAGGCTGTTCTTTAACAGCTGGCTTGGGCCCTGGCTGCTGAGTTGAGCGCTGGCCTGTGAACCGCGGGGTTGCCAGTTCGATTCCCAATGTAGGACCCTTGCCTGGGTTGCAAGCCGGGCCCCCGGTGCGGGGCGCACAAGACGCAAACCACACATTGATCTTTCTCTCCCTCTCTTCCCATCTCTAAAAATAAATAAATAAAATCTAAAAAGAAAAGCTGGCCTGGGCTGTCAGGGCTGTGCCGGAGGCGGCCCTGCCTCCCGGCCAGCATTCACACCCTTCCCTGGACCACGCCTCTGACCACACTGGCCTTCGTTCAGTTCCTGGACGTGATCTCTCCGCCTGGTGAGGTCACACGTGGCGCTCTTTCTGGAACGCTGGCCTCCCCGCCTCTCTCAACAAGCCTCTTTAAACTTCACGTCCCTTCGTGCTAGTGTCCCTCTCAGTGTCTGTTCTGGTACACACTTGTCACAGTGTGAATTACTCAAATCATGGTATTACCCGTAAACAGTCTGTTCGCCGCTTTGGCATTCGTTCTCTATTCCCAGTGTGGAGTCTTGCAGTAGCATATGTAAATAGTAAATATTTGGTGAATAAAATGAAGTGACCACTTCCTGCTATTATAGCATGCAATTTACTATTGTTAATTAAATAATTTAATTATTGCTAATTTTGTTTTTTAACATGTTATAAAGCAGCTGTGACGTATCTTTTTCATGTAGTCCTTAGTGGGAGGAATGCGAAGGCATCTATTTCGTCCCGTCTCTTTCCTGTTATAAAATCCCTGTGTTTATGTTTTAGAGTCGTGCTCCGATTTCTGCGAAACTTGTGGCCAATATGCTCTCGGTCGCTGGGGCAGATCACATCATCACCATGGACCTGCATGCCTCTCAGATCCAGGTTCTAGCACTTTCTTTCTTGTCCTTGGTTGTGATTGGGGGCTTAATGCAAGGGCTTAAATCCTAACTGTTTGTTGTGAAGTTAAATAATTTTTGAAGGAGGGAACGTGACTTGGGTTTGAGTTCGTATATGACGATTCTCTTGGGTTTTCATCTGTACCGAACTTGGAGATGTAATTTCATGTTTGTGTCGCCTGTCTCCACCACCCCCTTGTCTCCAGTCAGTTGTGGAGGGGGTGGCAGTACCTTCCCGGTGGCACTAAAACGCATCCCCCCAGATAAAATACGGAACCGAAATATGCTTCTGGAACGTATCTGGCTTTTCATTTAATTCTGTTAAAATTAAGAAAAAGGAGTCTGTTGAAAAGGCTTCCTTTGAATAAAAAAACTCCGATTTTATGTAAGGAAAGATCATCTTGTCAAAAGCCCCGCGGTGTGCCGGTGTGACGGTGTGACATCCCTGCTCCCCACAGGGGTTCTTTGACATTCCCGTGGACAATCTGTACGCCGAGCCCGCAGTCCTGCAGTGGATTCGGGAGAACATCACAGACTGGAAGAACTGTATCATCGTTTCCCCTGACGCGGGCGGGGCCAAAAGGTAGGCACTGGCCACACCAGGCACATTTCTGCATTGGCTGATTGCTTTTTCCTTTTCCTGTGTATTAGATAAGGAAACATGGTTGAAATTACTTAATACTTGATTTTGCACATGAGCAAATACGGAACAACAGGCTTTACCTCCAGAGCAGAGTGCTGTGCTCTTTGTCAACATTTCATTGGTCGTGAGAGAAAAAATTCACACACACACACACACACACACACACACACACACCTGTTTTCAGCGAGGAGTATGTTTTGAGGTTTTTAAGTAATTTTTCCTCTGATTATAAAAGCAAAAGCCTAATTGGAAAATGAGGCTTTTAATTAGCAACACGATTGACTAAGCTGGTCCTTCTTACTTCAAACACTTGGAAATGATAGCTGAAATAGAATCTTAAGAAAAAGAAATCTATGTTTATGGAACACCAAGAGAGAAAGGGAGCAATCTAGGGCTAAGAAATGAAGGAAGGCTGAACGCTGTGCTCAGGTGGCCTGCGGGTCAGATGCCAAATCCAGGAAGAGTCTGGCGGCTGGAGTGTTAGCACCCACATAGGAGCTTCCAGAGAGAAGGGGGATGAAAGGGTGACTTCTCCCCTGTAGCCCAGGAGGAAGGCCAGGCTTTGCCAGGGCCTTTGAATGGGGGAGAAAATACGCACCCGAGAGACGTCAGACGTGGGGCAGGAAACGCTCTGCTGAGAAGATTCCCATTAAAATTGGTCCCAGGCTGCAAGGCCACTGCAGAGGGACAATTCCACAGGCTCAACTGCTCAGTAAGGCCCTCCCCACTGAAGTGGACCCCATTGGGCCTCCTGATCCAGGTCACCGGGCCGCAGAGAGTCAGCGCCAGGGGGTGACAGAACAGTTACTAGCTGTAACGGAAGTTGGACAGAAACCTGACGCTGGTATCATCAGAGTGCGGGCACACTGAATGGCATAAGGAAACGGTAGGAGCAGCAAATCTGGAGGGCTTTGCAGAGACTCAAGGAATTAAGGAGCAACGGGCACAGAGAGTGCTATACTGCAAGTGGGGCGTGGCGACTCTACAAAGTGACCTTGTAGAACTATGCATCTGCTCTCTGGGGAGGAAGAAAAAATGGAATGGAGTTTTAACACCTGGGTAGATGCCTCCATCAGGAATGGAGAGGTAAACGAGACTTCTCGGTCCACTAGCCCAGTAAGAAAGCAAGGAAGCTAAATGTGCTGTGAGAGACCAGTGACCATCAGCCTTTGAGACACCTTTAAAATGTAAATGCCCATCCCTTTTTTGGCCCCCTACTTCACCTGTGGCCCAGCTAGGGACCTAGAATTAAATTTAAAAGCTTCAAAATAGCCCAGAAAGTGAAGGTCCTGTTATTTAGCAGAGCCCCTTTGTGCACTAAACTGCTGTTGCTACTGCTAAGGCTCTCGGCTCAGAAGAGGAGGAAAAATGGGGCACAGCTGGAGATGGGTCTCCAAAAGCAGCAGGAAGTGGCCATTGACAGAGGTCACAAGTATATAGAAGACAGAAGGAGAAAGTTAATTTGCAAAGACCCCAGCTGGGCAGCGACAGGGTAGGGAAGCAGCACCATGTCAACCCAGCACCGAGTGTGATGCTCGCAAACGTGCCCCCGCCAGGCCCTCCAGGTGCAAGACACTGCGTGTTGTCCGCTTAAGAAGACCGGAAAGCGAGCAACATGTGGGGTAATTTCTAGGGGAAATGCTTGCAATTTACATGGGAACTTCAGTCACACAGTGGAATCCGTATTCGATAATGGCAAGTCCGCTGGCCCGATGAAAGGTTAGATGTGAACAAGGGGGCCAAGGGGCACGTGGGTATGAGAGGTAACTCGTGCTTAATAGCTTTATTGACAGAGAATTCACACACCTGCAGTTTGCCCATTTAAAGTGCACAGTTCATTGGTATTCGGTATATTCACAGATTTGTGTATCCATCTAATTCCAGAACATTTTTATCACCCCCGAAGGAAATGCCATACCCATTCGCAGTCACTCCCCACTCTATCCCCAGCCCCTGGCAGCCACTCATCTGCTTTCTGTCTCTATGGAATTGCCTCTCTGGACATTTAACATAAATGGAATCAGACAATATCATGCGGCTTTTGTGTCTGTCATATTTCTTTTTTTTAAACCAGAAAAAAATTACTTTAGCAGCTAATGAGCCAAAAGAATAATAGATTCTACGACCTTTTATGGACTTTTCCTATCCCAACCTTATTATTATTATTATTTTTAGTTTTATGTATTTATTTTTAGAGAGGGGAAGGGAGGGAGAAAGAGAGGGAGAGAAACATCAACGTGTATTAGTTGCCTTTCGTGCGCCCCCTACTGAGGACCTGGCCCGCAACCCAGGCATGTGCCCTGACTGGGAATCGAACCGGTGGCCCTTTGGTTCGCAAGCCGGTGCTCAGTCCACTGAGCCACACCAGCCAGGGCCAAACCTTATTTTTTAATATATACTCTGAAAATAGAATGCTCTTAGCAAATATTCAAACAGGGTAGCATCCCCCATTTTTTTCTTTAGAGACCTCTATTCTTTCCAATGTCAGAATTAACATTATTCAAACATCTGTCTCCCTTTTATTTCACACAAGTGGTAATATGCTGCACATACTCCTTCACTGTGCTTTTATTAAAACTTAATTTGCTCCATTGTCTTTTTATAGCTGGGTAATAATCTCATTGTACTTGTATATTATTCTTTTAACCAGTTTCCCATTCCTCATTCGGAGACTGTTGTGTGTACTGTCACGCATCGCTTAACGACGGGAATATGTTCTGAGAATTGCGTCATTAGGCGATTCGTCATTGTGCGAAAATCATAGAGTGCACTCACACAAACCTAGATGGTACAGCCCACTACGCCCCTGGGCTTTGTGGTATAACCTGTTGCTCCTGGGCTACAAACCTACAGAGCCGTGTTGCTACACTGAATGCTGTAGGCAGTTGTGACACAAGGGTGAGTATGTATGGCTCTAAACAAAGGGACAGGGAAAATACAGTAGGAAAGATATAAAATGGTACAGCTCTACAGGGCACTTAGCGTGAGTGGAGCCTGCAGGATGGGAAGCGGCTCTGGGTGAGTCAGTGAGTGACGGTTAGTGCCTGTGAAGGCCCAGGACACCTCTGTATACTACTGTAGTCCACTGTACACCTCAATTTATTTTAAGAATTTCTTTAATAAATTAAACGTAGCTTACTGTAATTCTTTTTTTTACTTTATACACTTTAAAAATTCTTTTTAGCTTCCTGACTGTTTTGTAATGGCACTTAGCTTAAAACAAACACATTATACAGGGGTACAAAAATATTTTCTTTATATCCTGATGAGGATTTTACTATTTTTAAATTAATTTTTTACTTTTTAAATGTTTGTGTTGAAAACTAAGACACGCACCCACCCATTAGCCTAGGCCTGCACAGGGTCAGGATCTCCATATCACCGTCTTCTTCCTCCACATCTTATCTGCTGGATGGTCTTCATCTCCTGTGATAAAACGCCGCCTTCTGGAACCCTCCTGAAGGACCTGCCTGAGGCACTTCTTGAGGAGGTGCCTGTCACTTTTTTCTGAGACTTGTTTGAGGTGGTCTGTTTCTTTTTTCTTTCTTTTTTAATCGTAGACTTGCTTCTGAGCCCATAAAGCACCCTGAAGGTTCCTCTCTGTTAATGAAAACCTTTTGATGCTGGGTTGCCCTTCCAGGCATGTTTATGTCCCATGAAGGTCTATTCTTACCTTTTGCCTGTTGTTCTGGCAGCCTGAGGCCTTTTCCTTTGGATTGTGAGGCGGGCCCACAGGCAAGAGGTCACACCTTTGTTTCTGATGGGATTGAGGGGGGTGCAGATATTCCCCCAGGTTTTCTCCTTTCTTCCCTTTGTGTGTGTTTTCTCCGCAGGATTTTTCAAACATCATTATGTAGTCCTAGCTGCCCTTTCTTCACGTTACAGTTTCTGGGTTTCTAAAGGATTCCCCCTCTCTCAACATTTTTCCTCTCCCATGATTTTGTTTTATTTTAACGGTGGTTCTGTTCTTTTTTAATGTTCCAATTTTTTTAACCCAAAAATTGTTTTGAAATAGAGAGCGAAGTAAGAATCCAACTCTTCCCCCACCCCCCACCCCGGCCCCAGCCATCTACTTGTTCCAGAACTATTTATTAAATGTCCATCTCTTATACAGGAAACACCGTCTTTTACAAGTTCCCCTATTTATTTGTCAACTCCCGCATAAAGAAATGCAGAATTGACTGCCAGAGTAAGTGGCTGGCGTTGAGCTGCTGTTTGCTCACAGCCCCTTTGGGGCAGTGCTGCCGCTGTTTCCTCTGCCAGGAAAGTCGGAGCTTTTCAGGGGTGTAGCTTTCAGGTAATTTTGCCACCTCCTTTCCCCCTTCCCTGGTTTCTACTATGCAGTATCATCGTCACATTCCAACTTGGCTATTCCCAACTGACAGAACAGCCTCACAGGTATAACACGTGATGTGCGCGGTTTACATTTTCTGTGACTAATTTGCTTGATGCAAAAAGCCCTATTTCACCAAAGAAAATATATGTCTATCTTACAAATTGGAACTCTCTGCCTTACAAAAAGCTTTGAGGCTTGACTCATTCCTGGTAAAAAAAAAAAAAAAAAAAAAAAAACTTAATGGCACCACAAGGGGTCACTAGGGCAGTTTTTGAGGCTTAATTGGGTTGACAGCTAAGAACAAATAAAGCCTTAGAAGGAAACACACCTGCCCCTGTTGAGATAGTATGAACGAAAGCTGGTACAGGAAGTTGGTGAAACTAAGTCAGGTTTAATTTTTATTTATTTTTGGAAAGAATGTAAACATGTGTCCAGAAGAAATGGAAATTAAACTCTGCATGATTTTTCTTCCAGCTTTTTCTGCTTAAGATTTCTGCGTGATATACTGTCTCAGCATTATTTGTTAGGGTTACGTATTACGTCTCAGTTATATACCTGCAAAAGAAGAGTTGTAGGCTACTCAGGAATAGGAATAGTCTATTAACCCAGGGGGATTTTTGCAGGGATAATTTCCTTTCTTTCCTGCTTCTGACCTTACCGTTGAGTGCCTGAAGTGCCGTGGTCTCCCCACTCGTGTTCCATGCTCACCCCCGCCCCCCCAAAGCCACATAGCTCCGCTTGGTCCTCAGCTTGCCTCTGGGTCCCCCTGCTGGTCGGCTTGCGCACAGGGCAGGAGCGTGGGACCACCTGGCGGAGGTGTGAACGCAGGCTGTGCTTGGGCTTCACAACTCCACAGGCTTAGAACTTAGGCCACAGTGGTGGTGGGCCATGCACCGGGGGCTCTGCCATGCTGAGATCTTCCGGGTCTTTTCTTGGGAAAATCTGCCCTGTTTTCTGAGAAATAGCTTCCTGAACTAAGAGTTTAAATGGTTTATCTTTTATGACATTGGCACATAGATAGTAGTACATGCTTTAAGGTGATTACGGGGCAACATTTTTGTCAGCATTTTAATTAATTTTTTTGCCCAAGTAAATCCTTGAGTTAGGAAACCAGTGATAAATAGATTTAGAAACAAAGAGTGTGAGCTAGAGCAACTTGGTTTTGGTTTGAGACAGAAGGATGCATTTTTGATGAACATGGACCTCATCATAGTAATGTTTCCCTTTGCTTCAGGGACTTTGGAGATCTGAAATTGGTGTCTTCTCTTAGCTGATCTAACAGCCTTTGTCTTTAAATGGAAAGTTTGGTCCTTTTTTTGTTGATTGATAGAGACATCAACTTGTTTTTCCACTTAGTTATGCGCTCATTGGTTGATTCTTGTATGTGCCCCGGAGATCGAACCTGCAGCCTTGCTGTATCCAGACAATGTTCTAACCAGCAGAGCTACCCAGCCTGGGCCTGGTCCTTTCTCTTTTGAGATTACTGACATTTTGATTCGTAACCACCATCTTTTGTGCTTTAAAGCTATTGTCCAGTGTAGTTTTTTCCTTTTCCACAAACTAGACATTATTATTGTACTTTTACATAGTGAACATTTATTTAGATCTGTCTACATATTGAGTAATGTCTTTGCTTACCTCTCCTCCCCCCAGCGCATCGCAATGTATCTGTTAATCATTTTCCTTTTCCTTGGAGTGTTAGCCCAAAGTATCACATTGAGTTCAATTCTCCGCTTGTGGGTTTTATCATACACAACATGGGATTTTGGACGAATAACCCTTAGGAGTGCCTCCATGTAGTTTGCAACTCGAGAGAGAGAATTCACCCCCTCTACTTAGCATGGAGCTGGAGACAGCCGCGCATCCTTCCTGTCCACACCTGGGCAGCCAGTGTATTTTTTACTCATTGTTCTGAAGGGATAACCTTCAGCATCTCTGTGTTACACAGGGTCTCCTGTTACGCTCAAGATCATTTAAGGCTCCTTAGAAACCCTCAGGGCGAGAACTTAGCCACACGTGTGCTTCTCAAGATAACCTACCTTTACATTCTCTGCTTCTGAAGGTCCCTGCTGCTCTCCCAGCTCAGGGGAGAGCAGCGCTTGTAGGGATAGTCCCCTTGGGAATCTAGCATTGTAGCTGCTTCCATCAGAAAGGGTGTCCGGGGGCCCAGTGTGCCACAGGCCAAAGGGCAACTCCAAAACGGAGGCTTTCCTATATGGAGTGAAGGCGGCCTCACCTTTGGCCTCATTTTCACTTTTGTCCCTTGCCTGAGTAACAGATTCCCTGCTAATTTCGACAAAAACATTAAGATCTGAAAAAGGTGGCGATAGTGTTTGATCACGTTGGAAGCTGGTAAGATACTGGCCAAATAAGTTATATACAAAGAGCTACCATATGACCCAGTAATTCTGCCCGTTGGTATGTACCTAAAAGGCTGGAAAGGAGGGACTCAAACATCCTTCTGTGCCGATGTTTATAGCAGCAGAGTTCATGATAGCGGGAACGTGGGAACAGCCCATGCGCCCATCAACACATGAGTGGATAGACAGAATGTGCTATTGTATGTCCTTACAATACAATATTACTCATCCATAAGAAGGAATAAAATACTGACACATGCTATAACATGGACAAACCAAGTAAACATCAGCCCTGGCTGGTGTGGTGCAGTGGGTTTGGTGTCATCCCGTAGACCAAAAGGTCCCCTGTTCGATTCCCAGGCAGGGCATATGCCTGGACTGCGGGCAAGATGCCCACTTGGGGCACATGTGAGAGGCAGCTGATGGATTTTTCTCGCTCACATCGATGTTTCTCTGCCTCTCTCCCTCCCTTCCCTTCCCTTCTCTCTAAAAATAAAATCTTTTCTAAAAAAATTAGTAAACATGCTAAGTGAAAGAAGCCAATTACAAAAGGCCACACATTGTATGATTCCATTCATAGGAGAAGTTCAGATCAGGGAAATCCATGGAGAGGAAGGTAGACTCACGGTTGTCGCGGCCTGCGGGACTGGGGAGTGACCGCTCAGTGTGTACAGGGCTTCCTTTCGGCGCGGTGAAAGTATTCTGGAAGTTAGAGGTGGTGGTTGTATAATACGACATGTGCACCTAATGCCACCGAATTGTTTGCTTTAAAATGGTTACAGTGATAAATTCTATTTTTTATGTATTTTGCCACAATGAAAAAACACAGCCATGGAACCTTCTCAGAAACAGGCCAGGGAAAGCTGAGACTTGCCTGCTCTCTCTCTGGTCGGACCGCCCATGAGCGCCATTCCCGGTTCCCGTCAGAGGATGGCGCAGTCAGCGGGAGCAGGACCCTGCAGGCTGCGGAGGCTTCCAAAATGCGGGCTGTGAGTGTGTATGGAAATGAAAAGGAGGCCCCTCAGTATCAGTTCTTCAACTGAATTGCATAACAATCGATTGTTACCATAAAAACTGAAATAGTAAAATCTTATTTCAGATCATATCTGTGGCATTATTTTGCAGTCAGTTTTCATCATTCAAGCCCCGCTTTTCAGGGGGAAAATGTCCTGGGCTCCCTGACAGGCTGGGCCTGTCACTTCCTCTTTCTGTGACCAGCTCAGCCCTTTCCGAGCTGCTGACTTTTGAGCATTCACAGTTGATGGGCGGAGGACCCAGGCCCACGATTTATAGTCTCCCGAGGCCTCAAGTGTACTGGAGCCCGTTTTTTTGTTTGGCTTTGTTTTTTCTTAAGCCTACTTGTTCTGTGGCTGCTTTTAACCAGGACTTTGTCCCCAACAGCTGCACCACTCACTGCGCAAATGGCAGTCTCCAAGTAACTTGCTTTAACTCATGCCTGTGATTGTAAAAACGACCATGCGACACTAACACGCCGAATGTCACTTATTACCCAGTAGCCTGATGCAGTGCTCAAGGCGCCCTCTCATTGACCCCCAGCGGCTCCAAATGCAGAGCCATGTCACTAGCCCTACAAGTGAGACCTGATGCTTTATCTAGAGTGCGGCTGGCGCCTACTTTCCTAACATACAACTTGAAAGAGTGAGGTTTTTTTATTGACTGTATGTAATGTGTCCTTTCCATCTGCACAGGGTCACGTCCATTGCGGACAGGTTGAATGTGGAGTTTGCGTTGATTCACAAAGAGAGGAAGAAGGCGAATGAAGTGGACCGGATGGTCCTGGTGGGCGACGTGAAGGACCGCGTGGCCATCCTCGTGGATGACATGGCCGACACATGTGGCACAATCTGCCACGCTGCAGACAAGTATGAGGGACAGTTGGGGAAGGTGTTAGGCTATCTCATGAAGAAGGGGGACACATCAGCTTTTAAAAAGAATGGGGCCTGCTTTTCCTAATTATTGCTGTTTGCTTAGCAGTGGCACTTCAGACCAAAGAAGGTTCTAGACCCATGTGCCTTCCTTGGTAGGAAGAAAACTGTGGTCCTTTATGGTCCGCTTTCCACTTTCAAGGTTGAGCTGTCCGTGGATTTTATGAAAGGTCTGAGGAGGCGCGCCCCTTGCACCTGAGCACAGAAAGAAACCCCCTTGCAGGCTTCCTCAGGCCCTCACTTCCTTCTGTCCGGCCCTCCCTCCAGCCTTCAGACAGTGCAAAGCAAAGAATGTAAAATCTCGCAGTGATATTTTATATTGGTATCTCAAAAGGATGGTATTCAGGCTATTTTGGTTAAAACCAGTGGCTCTTAACCAAGGGCTGTTTTGTTCCCTAGGGGACATTTGGCATTGTCTAGAGACATTTTCAGTTGTCGCAGCCCAAGGGAGGGAGGCATTACTACAGTGTAATCTAGGGTTGCAGCACAACAAAGAAGTCTCTGGGCCCGAGGCCAAGGTCAACTGTCCCGGATTTGGATTTTTTGCCAGTACGCACCTTTAAGAGCCTGTCTTTGGCTACTAAATGTGGAAGAAATTGATTTCATTGTTTCCTTTTTGGAACACTTTGCTTTTAAGTTCACACTAAGGGGATCCTTTTTTTTTTTTTTTTTTTTTTTTTTGGTCTTCTGTTTTATAGGCTGCTCTCAGCCGGAGCCACCAAAGTTTATGCCATCCTTACCCATGGAATCTTCTCTGGACCAGCTATTTCCAGAATAAACAGTGCCTCCTTTGAGGCTGTAGTCGTCACAAACACAATTCCGCAAGAGGACAAAATGACTCATTGCCCCAAGATCCAGGTACTGGCTACATCGCAGGCAGAGCTGGGCGAGGCACCTACCTTAGATCCCGAAAAACAGCCCCGAGTATTTCTGTGTGTGACTGCTCACCCAGCCAAATGGCAACAGAGGTTGCAACTGCTCCCATGTGGCGGTCTACTTCACGTTGGATCTCTGAGAAAGGCCAGCAGAGGTCAAAGTTAGAAATAGTGAGTGAATAAAACCGCAATAGAAAAAGAGTAAGAGACAGGCTGTGCTGGAGCTAAGCAGAATTAACGTAGGACCCAGCACGTTCACCTGAGCAGCCACAGTTCAGAGTCTGCAAGCTGTGGCCCATGGACCCAATCCAGCCCGTCATGTGCTTTTGTAAATAAAGCTTTATTGGAATACAGCCATGCCCATTCATTTATATATAGTCTATAGCTGTTTTCACACTACAACAACTGAGTTGAGTCGGGCCTACAAAGCGGAAACTTGACTCTCGAGCCCTTTACAGAAAAAGTAGTTTGCCGAACCCTAAGTTAGAATGATCATAGTTGCGCTCTTTAATCATACAGTCACTACATTTTTCTGAAACCAAGAGAGAGAAACCTTCTACCTACTTGAATAAAATTAGTTTAAAAACAACAAACGTCCAAGACAAGGATATCTCTGATTAACAGCAGCCCTGAAACGCCTTTGAGTGTCTGCACTGAAAATCTCACTTCCAGGGCCCAACAGGGTTTAGTTTCCCAGGCTGTAATTTGAAGATTGACCCATAGCTGTCTATCCTCTCAAAAGAAATGGGTACGGGTTCTTGATAGGAGCTCATCTCGCAGGTAGAGAAATCGTAGGTTTTTAATTAAATATGAGTAAGATACCTCACTCTCCTTACCCTTTTTCTCTTTGTCACTTAGGTCATTGACATTTCGATGATCTTGGCCGAGGCGATCCGCCGGACCCACAACGGTGAATCCGTGTCTTACCTGTTCAGCCACGTCCCGCTCTAAAGCCAGGATGGTAGATAGTGGAGCAGGCCTGCTGACTTCTGACTCGTGTGTTTCTATCTGATATTTTAGCTTTAGGACTCAGCAGTTAGAATGCAAAAATGAGATCTGTGTATCCTCCAAGATCTGTTGTTCCCCCCCTTCTATAGCTCAAGACCATTTATTTCCAGTTTTGGGGGAGGGCAGTGGTTATTTGATCTGTGAACTGTCATAAATCAAAAATATTTTTGTCATCTTGACTTGTTCTGATAGGTGACGTGTTCTTTTGTCCTATCAGTGTTTTGAGGCCACAACTTCCACGAATACAATTACATTGTGGGAGTTCCTAATTTATATATTTCAGGGTTGCCCAAGGTGACTTTAGGATAGAGACTTCTATGTAGATATATAATGGTAATGCCTGTGGACATTTGAGTGAAACCCTGTATAGAATGAGCCTTTCTAAGAAAACCTTAGAAAATATATAATATCATGAGGTGTTTTTTTTTTTTTTTTGCTTGTTTTTGTTTTTTTTTTGTTTTTTGTTTTTTTGTAGCTGAGTTTAAAATAAACCACTTTAGTTATTATGTTTGATTCGGACCAAATTTTATGTCCTTTAAGATGGCTACTGATACGTTTTTGGGTAAACATTAGACATACCAGAGGCCATTGAGCTCAGAATTTATTACCACTTCTGAAAAACATGTTATAACCCTCACCTACATGGAGTGCCACGTTCTAAAATTCCCGAACAGTGTTCAGTGATAGATCTGATTCGGAAACGGTTTGAGAGAGTCTCTGCACAGTCACATTCCTGCTGGCCATTGTCCATCCCAGATGGACAGTTCTTTGGGCACCTTTTATCCTGTCGTCTTGTTGTTTTAGGTCCCATTTTTAGCTCTAGCTTTTACTTTGCCTTTTCCCAATAATTTCGTGTTGTTGATTTTCACCAAAACAAAAGCCCCTAAGTCCTCTCAAATTGACTAGTCTGATCATAATTTTGCCTTGGACATCGATTAAAAGGTGGATTTTTATGAGTTACACTAAATGCATATTTAGGCATCGTTCGTTTTGACTTTTTGTCTTCATTAGCTTTTTGTAATCAGAAGTAGCAAGTATGGGCAACTGATTATTGGAACTAAAGCCACTACATTAAAAATGTGGATAAGAAAGGCCTACGAAGAAAGCGCAAATAAGTAAACATCACTTCCTCCATTAAAATAATATTCAAATAGTGAATATTACCAAGAGTGAGTGTGTAGGGAAAGATTGCTTTCTCTGCGCGGTGGCCCTTGATAGCACCCTCCTACGTGAGGCGCCTCCCTGATGCTGGCAGAAGGGTAGAAGGCACGCCTCGCCTCTTTGTGAACTTTATTATGTGCACATTGGTGCGCAACCAACCGAACACTTCATCACCAGAAGACAGTTTGCTTACATAGAGTAATAAACAACAGTGTCTCCCTCCTGCTGACTCGTAAAACTTGAAGAGAATAAATTCTTTAAGTTCTGCAGGGGGGGAAAGGAAAATCTATTGAAGTCATTAACAAATAGAGTGGCCGTTAAGGTTTCAAACTTCACTAGGGCAGAGGTGGAATCGAAGTTAAAAGTGTCATTTCGGTCATCGCAGAAGCAAGCATTTTGTTGTACCTTAAAATGGGTTTTGAGATAAAATGGTATTATGTAGCCTGGTAAAACCAGCTATGCAATACAGAGTGACTATTTGTAGAAAGAGTTGACTTGAGATATGTAAAGAGTTTATTTAGATGCTATGTAATTTTAATTTTTGATAAACAAGCGGTACCTGTTATTTCTTGGAATTTCCACGCATAGAGGAATGAAAATGTCGTTCTGAATATGCATAAGTAGACAGCTTGGCATACAAGTGCAGACCTGTTGACCTGACATGACTACAACCAATTGATTTAAAGGTAATCATTTCACCTAACATAATAAAATAGGGAGTTAGTTTGAAAATAATCCTAAGGGGAAAAAATGATACAAAATCTATTGTAATCCTCTAAATTAAGACCTGATTGTTTCTTACATTATTTAGCACCACGTGTGTGTTTGAAAGTACTTCTAATACACTGATTAACTCATTAGACTAGACTGAGCCATCCATAGTGGCCGTGTGGGGCCTGAGCTATTTGGTTTCTGTTCAGCGAAGGGGAGGAAGGCGACCTCTGAGCAGCTTCATCCCAGAATTCGCACTGTTCTTACTGCCGGTGTGGAAACATTTCCGTGAAACCACCGAACGTGTTGGTCCTGTTCGGCTCTGGCGAATGGAGGCCGACTTGGTGTGTATGTAGCCAAAAAGGGGAGCCAGAGAAGTGTGAACATAGCAAAATCGCTCAGCCTCCAACTTAACTCATATTAATCAACTTACAGATGCTCATAGGGTAACTGTCTTTTGTTAGATGCCATCTAGATTCAGGAGTAGATCATTCGCAGTGCTTGTATTGGTTTAATATAACATTTTCAGATCTTCCAACACTGTACTAAGACATCTCAATAAAGTCATACTGCTTCTTTCATAGTGTGTGTTGTCATTGTAGTGTAATGCGTTTTGACTGAGTGATGTTTTCTGGGGTTCCTGAAAATTGTGCCACTTCCTGATTGTAGCCCACCATGTAAAATTAAACAAAAGCCAAAAGTTTTTTGAAGTCAGCTCTTCTCCATTTTCTTTTTTTACTTTCACCCGAGGACATTTTTTTTCATTGATTTTATGGAGAGAGGAAGGGGAGGAGAGAGAGAGAGACGGTTGGTTGGTTGGTTGGTTGATGGACTTCTTGCACGTGCCCTGACTGGGAATCAAACCCACAACCTTTCAGTTTATAGAATGACACTCCAACCAACTGAGCCACATTGGCCAGGGCTCTCTTCATTTTGAAAGTATTTCTGAAGGACTGATTAGTTACCAAGTGTAGCTTAGTACACCAAAGTATAATAGCTGTACCACATAAGGTACCCAACTTGATAATTCTAGATGTTTCCTGTAGAATTGAAGATCGCACAGTGTGTTTACACAGCAAAGCAGTGACATTCAGTAGCCATAGGTTGGAGCAGACCAAACTGAAATGTATGCCCCACGAAAGTTGTTCATGTGCTTTGATTTCAGAAGTGCCAGGAAGCATTTCCTGCTCCCACTAAACAACTGCTCAGTGATGCTTTAAGTTACTCTTGTAGGGACAAAGTCAGTTTATACAATATTTATGCTCTCCCAGTAATGCTCCACTTTAAAGTGTGGATTACCCAGAATGGCGACCTCTTGTCTTAAAGTCCCAGTGAAATACAAAGAACTAAACCCAGCTCCATCGGGGAAGGTCTATTTGAGAGAATGTGATAGAATGTACTAGAAAGCGGGGGGTGGGGGGGAGGAATGAAGCGGTGGTGGAAACACTTCAATTCCATTTAATAGTGCTGTCACACCTCTTTGGGAGTGTCTCATTTCATGTGGCAGGTCTTATCAAACCCAGCTGAGCTACAGGATGGACAGGTTAAATGTCAGGGAAAGATGAAATAGAAGTTAGGATCAGTCAGGCTAGGGTGATCCGAAAGGGCTTTGTGAAGGAGCTGCTTACTGGTAGTACTTCATGGAAGAATTTTCCAGAGCCAGAGGGCTGAAGCAGGGTCAGCACAAGGTGTTTGGTATGTCGTATATTTGAGTGAGGATAGCCAATGAAGACGAAAGTGAGGGGCTGAAACATACTAGCATATCCTTTGTGCAGTTGCTTGGAGAACAGTACGTTGAGTCCGTCCTTTTTGCTACAGAGCTTTGCTTTATTGCTTGAGCTCCCTCTACCCTAGGAACACCTCCCTCCGTCTTTTCCCTGCCCTCGCTTCCCAAGATCAACTTCTGGATTGGTTGGCTTCACTGTCGTCTCCAAGCTCTGTTTTGTCTTGAAAGGGCACAAACACGACTCCCTCACCCCGGGACTCATTGTCTTGACCATCTCCAACAAGGGCAGCATTAGGTGGTGACAAACAGTCGCATGTTGAAAATACTTCCAATGGGCTGTACAGACGACAGGAATGAATGCCATGCAATAATAGAGATGGTCAGCGGAAGCCCTTTACAACAACCTGATCCGATTAACCATCCCGATATAAATGGAACCAAAAGTGATGCCCTGTATAACGATAAGAACAGTTCTCACTGTCCTAAAGGCGGAGTCCTGTGATCAAAAGAAAAACCAGCCAAAATCATTTCACATTTTTAAAAGTGATAAAAATAGAAAAGCAAGAAATGTAATGTGGTGGAAAGTGCCCTCAACTGGGGGCATGGCGATACGGAGGCTGGTTCCTGGTGTGCTACTGCCAGGCTGTGTGGCCATGAGCAAATGGCCATAGTGCTCTGAGTCTGGTATCTGCAAAATGAGAAGGTAGGCGAATGCCGTTGAGCCTGCGTTACCTATACTCGACTTAGTGGGATTCTACTAAGTGAAGGTTATGGTTCCAGCGAGGCAAAGATGGTTGCCTCCCCATCAGGGCGACAGCTCGTTTGGGCTGGCGGGGGACTTTCTCAATCTCACTACTGCAAGTCCTGCATCCCAAGAACCCCTCAGCCCTGGACAAACCAGGGGCTTTGGTCACCCTAGTTCTCCATCCTCTAAGGTGAATGGTTCTGGATCCCCATTGCCACCTTGGCTAAGGAATCCCATGATCATAATTCTGCTCTTGTGCCAGTTGCAATGAAAGCAGGTTATATGACATGCCCCACAATGTGCCAACAACCTGTGGCATCTTATTTCCTCTTAAATCCCTTGTCAAGTAACTGTAAAAGCTGAAGAGCTGTAGTCAAAAATAAAAGAAGAAAAAACGTGGACATTTTTAGAATGACACATTCTAGACCCGGCTTGAATGCTAGTCCTTCACCACAGCTGCCTTTGGTGCCATACCGGGGGGTGGGGAGGTGTCTTTGAGATCCCAGGGGACCGTCTGGGCAGAGGGCAGAGTTTCCGAACATTCACTGATGGGCCCTGCCCTTCTGTGCATTAGCTCTTAAATCTTTTTTTAGCAGCTTACTTTGTCCAAACATTGAACTCTCTCTTATACTTAATTGAGCTATAATATTATAATTAATAACATAACTGGCATAAAAAAGCTTTATAAACAACTGAATCTTGGAAATTAACACAACTGGTATGTATATATATACTAGTATCCTATCGACCTGAGATGTTAAACGGGTCCTGGAGATCAGTCAACTGTTTTTTGTTTTTTGTTTTTACAGAAGGAAAAGAGAATGCAGGTAAACTGATGAGATTTTAAATCGAGGTCAAGTCAAAAGAGCTTCTATGGTTCCTGTTGGTCTCAAGCTTGTCTGTCGATTGGAATCAACTGAGCAGTACTGAAAACTCCCAATACCCAAGCCTCACCCAAGAGTGGTTAAATCTGAATCTTTAGGGGCCAGACAAGGATCCCTTTCTGAGGTGATACCAAGATTCAGAACTTTCAGTTTAAGGTCATGGCCACAAAGCTCTCAAGGTTTGCTGCCTTCTCCCAACATGTAAGTGTATCAGGTTTGGCACACTACATTTAGAAAGCAAAAGAGCAAGGAAAAGTATATACAAGAACAAAGGGCCACCATTAATTCCATAAATCAATACAAGTCAGCACCTACATTTTGGAGAATTTTAGAACATTTCTCCTTTGTTAGAATTCCTACATGTGGTGCTTCTCCATTGGAACAACGCCCGCCTTGAATTCTGCTTTATTTTAATTGCTCACCAGAAAAGTAGTATCATTTTTGCACCCCCGCTCAAAGTCCCCAAATCCTGGCCGACACTGAATTGACAATCTTTTCCCCTTTTTTCCAATCTGATAATTTAAAAATACTGCGATGTCATTTTGTTTGTATTTCTGTAAGAACTTTATTTTATTGACTGTAAATATTTTATAGAACCTATAAGATAATATAGTAATAGAAATATTATATAGACATACCCAAACCCTACTGATCTGTCACCTATTACTGCAATGAAATTTTATTTTTTTTTAAATTATAAAAATACTGTTCTACTGATTATAAAACAACATATATCCATTGAAGAAATGTTGGTAAATACAGGGACAAGAAATAAAAAAAAATGTTCATAATTACTTGACAATAACAATGGCTAAAAGTGTAGCATATGACCAAACAAGTATTTGTTTAAAATTATTTATTTGTTTACATTTTACTTATTATCTTTTTCCATGTCACTCAACATTGTAATACGTAACTTCCAGAGGCTGCATAGCAATCTAAAGTAGTATGTTTTAAATCAAGTCCTTCAGAAAATCTGAAACAACAGATCTTGGCTTAAATACCAATCCCCTCACCTTTCTCTTACATGCATCACAAGTGGTAGACTGTTACTTTGGTGGTTCCCAGTGAACCATGGCTCCCAATTTTCATGCGCATGTGCAGTGCCCTCCCTTACTGACTTCGGGCTTAGCCAATACTTAGGACATTCACAGGGATAATGGAAGCAAGGGCTTAGTGCTTGCACGTTGGGGCTTGTCTCTACTGGAATGCTCACTCTAAGTATCTAAGCACCATGAAAAGAAGCCCAAGTTAGCCACATGGAAAACAAAAAAGCAAGAGGTCACAGCCTCCCAACCTTCCCCACTGGGGCACCAGACATGTAAACAAAGTCATCTGATTGTAACCTCATGAGAGACCTCAATTGAGACCATCAGCACAGCCCCGCAGAGCCCCCGCCAACCCCCAGGACAGTGAACACATAAAATGGTGGCTGTTTTAAGCCAGTAAGTTTCAGCGTGGTTTGTCACACAGCAATACATAATTGAAACATGACAGCATCTAATGCGAATAGTTGCATCAAATATGGAAAATAAATCTTTAGAATCATAAACTGAAGGAGGCCTTTTTGCTTCTGATCTGGTTAAATGGCTGAGGACCCGTCTGATTAGATGACTATGGGCAGTCAAAACAACATGAACTATAACCCAGTTTTGCGTATTACTAGATATAGGACTTCTTAGAGTATCAGCTTCTTTGGGGGCAAATCAGATTTTAGCGCCAGTTACCTCGCAGGTGTTTTATTTTTAGGCTTTGTGAGTGACGGTGCCTCTAACGCAATGGAATCATAAACAGGGTGAAGGAATGAATGTACAGGTGTGAGTAACATTTTTATTAGGCAGTCATGTCTCTCGAACACAAGAGACTATTCTTTCCACTACATCTTACTACTAATGGATTTACTTAATGGATCTACGAAAACCAGATGGTGAGATAGGTTGTCTGTAATGTCCACCTGGCAAAACTGCTTCTGATATTTCAAGGCAGCAGGCAGACTGCTTGGAGACCGTTGCATCCAGAAATAGCCTTTCCTCTTTTTAACCAAGTCATCTACTTCATTATTTGCATCGGGGGCTTTTTTCAAAGCATCTGACCCTCTGGACTTCTCTGGTGGGACCCGTCCTCAACAGGAAAGAAGGGTTTTATCACATGAATTTGCATATCCTGTCAAAGACATCTTCAAAACACTTTCATTTCAAGGTAAAATGA